TAAAATATAAAATATAAAATATAAAATATGTAGTTGTACGATTTCAGTTATGAACCAAGTATATAGCACCAGACTACTATGTAAAAGTTATCTTATAGAGCCTGCTTATATTGTGTGCATACCGCCTTTGTTCCGCTCGTTATTTAATGGGCCGAAGTGTAAAAGTTCAGTTTACATTTGAAATTAGTTACGGAAATGTTTCCCAAAACACAAAAAAACTTGGCTTAATTGGTGGAAAAGTTGACGATGCTGGGAACTCGAGCATCTTTGGCACAGCTGAGTCGCTGAGCTGAGCACTTAAATATCTCCTGGCTAGAGGCGGTATAATTACAGGTATTATCACACGGCAGCAACACCTACAAATCATAAAAGGGCGCAGCTCTTGGACAGCAAGTTTAGAGCAGCGGTGGCAGCATCCTCTAACTGTAGTCCATTGTTTGGCTAATGGAATTTTAACGTCAGACGTCGCGGACAATCGACCCACGACCCACGACCCCATCCACAGCCCCAGCCTCGTCCACGCTGTATGCCCATTCCAATTGGCTGCGGCACCCTCCATGTCATGGATGCTGGCTGATGCTCAAAATCCACATTGAATTAATGCGAATGTGGCGTTGGCTAAGGATAGAGCTGGGGATGTGAATGCGAATGTGGATGTGGATGTGGATGAGGCTGTGGTGGGGGAGGGGCTGTGACTGCGAGGAAGCGGCGCATGCTGCTAATGTGGCGCTTATTAGCGGGCGTGCGAGCGAGAACAGTTGAATATCCTCAACGCGCAGTCGTTCCTGTCCTTGTCGCTGGCTAATCCACTGGAAACATCATTTTGAGCACCTGTTTAATTGCGTTAATCACCGGGAGCAAACATTATTTGCCATGCTGCTCCGCATGATGATGTGCAATGGACCTTAAAGGTGACGACCGAAGTAACTAAGGGAACGAAGGGAACGAAGGGCACTGGGAGGGAAGTAGTACCTCGACCAGTCGCTTAGCTTAAGCGCTGCACATTAGAATGTTAATTTGATGTGTCTTGATGCGCAGCTGGGCCAAAGTATCTCCGGGGGTCATTAGCCACGAGCTTAATATCTCACTTACAAATGCAACTATTTGCATTTTTATTTGGGCTAGCTTACATTGTAGAAGAGAAGAGAGCTCGAGAGGGCCAGGGAGACCAGAGTAGGCAAATGGTAAGTAAGAGATGAGTAGAAGTAGGAGTCTGGAGGAAAAGTAAGTTCATTAAGTTACTCAAACGAAACTGAAAGTAAACAAGAAAGAGTGCTCTAATCGAGATTGCCCTACTAGAAGATACCCTGTAGCAGAGGCCTCGACAGCCAAGGAGATCAGAGGAAGCAAATGGTAATAGAGAGACGGGTAGAAGTAGTTCATTTAGTTACTCAAACGAAACTTTAATCGATGTTGCCCGACTAGAAGATACCCTAAGCCCTACCAGAGCTACTACTCGTGCTCTAGCCGAAGGAAATCAACTAGGAAATACCCTAAGCCCTAGCAGAGGTCGAAAAATAACTTATATGCTAGCTTCTAATACAGTAGAATCCAGTTATAACGACACTCAAGGGATCGTCGTTATAGCCGGAAGGCGGCTACGTATAAGTTTGCTCATAAAAATTTGTCTGGGGACCAGAATTTTCATCGCTATAACCGTACATACGCTATATGTGGATGTATTAGGATCTAACATATGTATATCTCATATCATATCATCCATCATCTTCTAAAGCCCATTTCAAATATCTTTTATTTACTTATTTAAAAAAGAAGACAAAACTAGAGTAAAACTTGGAAAAGCTTGGAATAAACTAAAAAATATAATTGTATAGCCTAGACAAATATGCAAAATTGAAATATATAAATTATTATTATATAACAATTAATATTATTGTTCCACATATATAGAGATGATGTCCATGTATCAAAAAGTCATGTGACGACTCGAAAGCTTCGTCGAAGAACACTGACACTCACAGACACATAAATCCACAGAAATCGTGGAACACAGACTGTACAAGTCGATCTGGTATACAGCAGGAGGAGTATATCGCTCCATTACAAACTCCTGTGGGGGCTTTGCCCAGCTCACCGTCAAGATATTTGACACATATTTGTAAAGAAATCGAATGCCCGGATTACTTTCCATTTAGGACACGGCTGCAGTTGCTCGAGAAACAAAATTCCGCTGCTAAGCTCAAGTTATGGCATTTTGTTAAGGCTTTGCAATTGCATGTCGCACATTTAGTTAAGCTGGACACACACACACACGCATACATACAGGCACACACACACTATAAGGGCAATCTCGCCCTTGTCATATTTGGGCAACAATTTGTTGGGGCTTACTTTGATGTGCCCCGCCCCCAAAGGTCGTTAAAGTCGGCCATCAACGACATCGAATCAGCAAAACTATGTCACAAAAACATTTACCGTTTATTTCACATCAAATATTTCATTGTAATCCAATAAAAGTAGTTAAAAATATTTAATGAGTCATTCCAATTTAAAATTGTTAAACAATTTATAACGTCTYTCTCTTAATATATATCTAAAAATATTTGTATATACATATTTGATATCTTCTCTCGGAAATAATAGTATTTAGTAAAATTCAATGAGTCATTCCAAAAAAAAAAAAAAAAAAAAAAAAAATCATAATCGCGCTCTCTCTCTCTCTTATTTTCTCTCTTTATATACATATATATCTCCATTTCTTTTTATATATGTACATATATGCACATATTGGATATCTTCCCTCGTAAATATTATTCCTTACTTATAGTACATCTATAATTCACAGAGATTGCAAGTGGCTTTCGTGATGCCTGATAGTTTCTTAGGTTGGGCGAGGATTGTATTCCAGCTGGAACAGCTGGAACATGATGCCCAAGCTTCTATATTCACATACATATCTTATATAACTATGCTTAGCATTAATAGTAGTCTATATATTTCACTTCAGCCTAGGTCTTTTCGGGTTGGGCTGCTCTAGCAGGGACCTCTTCTCCTGTTCCTGCTCCTGCTGCGCGTTCTGCTGCTTTTGCCGGAGCTTTGGTGCACCATTGCTGCACTGGACTGGCCACTTGATGCCCGCCAAATTTGCATATTTTTCAAAGATATGCTTCAGACGTGTGCGCAATGAGCTCTGATTGGCGTATGGCAAATTGATGGCCGCATATGCCCAGTTCTTGACCACCAGACTGGGCTTGCACACAGCTATATTGATCTCGGGCAGAAAGCGCGTCGGATATACTCTGTCGGTGGACTCCAATACAATTCGGCTTATGGTTTTTGGTATCGGCATCTTCATCTGTGGGCCGCCCGCCTTGACCTGGTTGTAAATCTCGTCCAAGTGACGATAATACTTATGCGACAGCAAGCAGCGATATTTCGGATCACCCAGCTTTACCAGCCGCATATCTCGCACCGCATGCTGCAGGCACAGTCGGCACTCGGTAACTGCAACAGATCAGATCAGATCAATTTAGAGATATATTTGACAGCGTGACAGAGCTCGCTTACCTGAGGTGTTGAGTTCATTGGCAACTTTCAGCCAGGCTCTTCGCTTCTCTATGGTGCTGGATTGGCTATAGGTATGCGGATAACAGAGCATCAGGCGGCTCAGCTGAAACACATCGATGCTGGGCAAGCTCTGGCTGACCGTGCACACTTCAGTCACTTCCAGCGGCTGGAGCTGGGGAAGTGTCTTCTTTACTTGCTCCTGCTCCTGCTGCTTCGACTTCTGATGCTGCTGCTTCTGCTCCTGCTCCTGCTGCTGCTGTTTTTGCTGCCTTTGTTGTTTCTGCATTTGAGTTTAATCTTCATTATAGGAAACGGCCGAATCTTCTAAAATTCTCTAGTTAGCTTCACCTGCATAGCAAACAGCTCCTTAGCCTCGGCCGTCTCCCACGGCATGGGCGAAATGTTGGCCAATGAACTAATCACACTGCCGGAAGAATTTGATTGCATTAACGCTTCGTACATGCTGCAGCGCTTCACCTCCTCCATGAACTTGTTGTGCACAATGTAGTAGAAGGGCTCCAAGGGATGATAGCGCATATTCACTAGATATTTCAGCTGCTCCAAGGCATGCCACCAGTTCTGCGGCCAGGGATTCTCAATGCCACGCTCCAAGTCCTCCATATACGTTTTGAAGGCAAATTTAAACATGGCCCAAACGTCGCGATGATTTACTGAACAAAGAAGACAACAATTATAATAATAATACGAATTCAAGTCAATCCTGGCCAGGCTTGGTCAATCTGCGTGCCACTCACTGTGTGGAAAACGTTCGCGTGCCAATTGCCACACCTCCTGCCGCTCCTGTTCGGTAAGTGAACGTGGCGGCTGCTGTACCGCCTGACTGTCCTCTCCCGGCCGCGGTCGTCGCAGATCCCAGTACAGATGCTCATACCCGCCGAAGAACTGCATCAGGGCCGGCAGCTTGTCTTTGTACTGCATCCATTCATATTTGCGTGCGATCCCATCAAATTTACTAAACAATCGATTCGACCTCTCCCACGTCTTCAAGCTCCCTTTGAATGGACTCATCAGATTCGACATGGGCGCTATCTCCGGGAACAGACTAATGTTCGCCGCCAAGAAGCGCCATATGCCGCGACACATTTGCTCTGCAAAGGACACACAAATTCATTAGAGGGCTCCTATCGGTAATGTATCATATCCATATATCCTAGCATAGAGCCAAGTTTGTATTCTTAAGCAAATCTGAAGCCTCTAGATCCCATACAAGCTTAAATGACGAAGTAAAACTATCGAGTTTTATCGATAACTAGGAAATGGGATGAATTATCGAAAAAACATAATCATCCCGTGTTGCGTATGCTAAATAAGAGTACAGCTTCGAAATATAAAATTTGTAGCTTTTGTAGATCACGAGATCTACGGATGGACAGGTGGAAATTACTAAAATTAGTTCGTTGCTTTCAAAAAAATACATAATAGGATTTGCCACGCCTTTTTCTGCCTGTCACGTATACATTTACACAAAAGCTTCTTCCCATTTTCTCTGGATTCAATGGGTATGAGAATAGCTTTAGTTGAAGAATCCTCGACTAATGTATACCCATTATTAGCACTTGCCTGGCATGTGAAACTTTCTGGATAGATGCTGCCAGTACCGGGAACTTTTGAGCATCACATCGGGATCCGTGCTGTGGAGTTGCGGTATGGCCATCACCTCGCGGATAAAGAATGCAGTGCGTGCCATGGTCAGATTCGGTAAAAAGGGTACGGCGGGGCCCTCGGCATAGATGACGGGTCCCATGGTCGGATGGTTGCGTATCTCAACTTTCATTTCGGCTTCCGACGGCGTCAAATTTGATGGGCATGCAGTCACCTTAGCCCCCTTAGCCATGCTGATGGTGCTCACACTTGATGATTTACTGGGATTGTTGGAGGGATCGCTGGGTCGAACACCAGATCTGATGGCATTGCTAAGCATCGTTGAAGGGCACGGCGGAATTGTCTTGGCCACTTTTGTATTTGTGGGAATTTTGGGCGCGTTGCTGGGCACCAAGAGGGGAACACCAGATGGTTCTGTTCTCGCACTTAATAAACTGAGCATCGATGACTGCGATGGCGGCACTGTCTTGCCCATACTGACGCCCACTTTTGGGTTGGGAGGAATTTTTGGGGCGTTGCTGGGCACCAAGGGGGGAACACCAGATCGTTCTGTTCTCCCTCTGCTGGATATGCTGACGGCATTGGTGAGCATGGATGAAGTCGACGGCGGCATTGAATTGGCCATACTGACGCTCACTCCTAATGGAGTACAGGGTATTTTGGGTGCGTTGCTGGGCACCAAGGGGGGAACCCAAGCTGGTTCCATACGGCCGCTCACTCTTGATGCACTGCTGCTGATGCCTATGCTGGCCATCAAAGTCGACGAAGGGGCAACCGACTTGGTCAGGCTGCTGTTGCTGCTGATGTTTCCGGATGATGCCGGATTTCCGCCAATTTCATTGGGTGGCATCTTGGCAAACGTTGTTGGTGTCAGCTTGGGCATTGGCATCGATGCGGCGCCCTTCGACGACAACATCGTCTTGTTCCTGAGCACGTCCATCGGCCGTAGCTTGGGCAAAGGCGGCGTCACCTCTGCAATGGACACCGGCTCCTGGGCGGTTATGGGCGGCATCCTGGCACTAGCAGCTGGAGCAGCTAGAGCAGTTGGAGCAACTAAAACAGTCGGAACAGCTGGAGCAGTTAAGACAGCTGATGCAGTTGGAGAAGCTAGAGCAGCTCGAGCTGCTGAAGCAGCTAAGACCGTTGGAGCAGCTGGAGAAGTAAAAGTCGCTGGAGCAGTTGGAGCAGCTAGAATGGTTCGAACCGCTGGAGCAATTGGAGCAGCTAGAAGAGTTCGTGTCGCTGGAGCAGTTGGAGCAGCTAGAACAATTGGAGCTGCTGGGACAGCTGATGCAGATGAAGCAGCTGGGACAGCGCGAATTATGGTGGCGCCACCAATGCTATTGCCGGTGGGATTGTTTGTGCTGGTGCTGCCAATAACGGACGGCGACAGAGGTAGACTCGTTTTGGATCTAACCGTCACCTGCAGACCACTGCGTGCTGGAATAAATCGCGCACTGGGCACGCTGGGTACGCTGGGCCGTGTGGCCAGCTGTACAGTGGCCAGTATGGGCAATGCCAGAGGATTGGGCAGCGCGTCCATGTATGTGGACTTGGTAACAGTTACCACAGGCGGCGCTGCAGTCGTTGCGGCAGTCGGCCGTGTCTTAGGAATCACAGTAATGGCTGCCGAAATGTAGGGCAAGGTATAGCCGGTGGTGCCAACTGCACCACTGCTGCTGTTGGCACTGATGCTGGTGTTGCTGGCAGTGGTAATGGTGCTGGTAGCCCTGGTGGTGCCAGTGGTGCTGATGGTGCTGTTGCTGGAAGTGCTGCTGATGGCGCTGAAGACAGTGTTGGTGGATTGGCTGCTGCTGCTGCTGTTCTTGGGTATAGCAGAGATGGTGATGTTTGGCTGTCGCATAGTAGGCGGGTAGTTAATGCCCAGGGGCAGTGGTGTCACCAGCGGTGCCACCGCCGGGGTCGTCTCAGTGGTACGCACATCACGCACCGTCACTGGGGTCTTGTCTTGCGGTGGGTTTGGCTTGGTTTGCGATGCGACTTTGGGCACATTATTGACGGCATGCTTTTGGGCATAACGCACCGAGCGCGAAGTCAGCAGCTTGTAGAGGCAGCCAATGATGTTCTCAAAGAACCATTTGTCCTGCAGCTGATAGCCAACTTTGCGCATCTCGGCCAGCTCCAGGTAGAACTTGCGCAGCACCAGCCAGGTGACCTCGCAGCGCTGACTGCTGCACTTCACTTGGGCCGCAACACGCGACCAGAGCTCCTTGTAGCTGCTCGTGTCCTGTACGGCCATGTCCTGCTTATCCTCTAGCAATTGTGGGAATTCCGGCACCGTTTTGAGCACATTTATCAGATTGACAATAGTGCGAAAGTGATCGATGGAATCGAACCAGCCGTCCTTCAAATACAGCGACAGCTTGCATACCGTGTTGGGTGTTTGCCGAATGTGCGGCTCGAGAAAGTTGAGCTGCGTCAACAAGTGGGAGCTATCGCTGCTGCTGTTATTGGCTTGCAGCAGCTCCCACTCGTAGCGCGTCTGTAGGTGCAGCCAGATCTTCATCAGCTTGGTCGCCTTCTCGCGCAGCTCATTGGAGATGGCACTCCAAATGAGGCCGCGATGATGATAGTTCTCGTAATCGTCGTGCTCAGTGTCGTAGAGCTGGGGATAGGCGCGCACGGCTTCAATTAGACGCTGCTGATCCGGGCTTATGTTATACTGATCCGAATATTCCGCGTCTACGTCTATGATGGGTGGCTGTGTATTCACGATGGTGACATCGTCGGTCCCACTCGACACATCCAATGGGGGTCGACTGTTGCGCCTGTTGGACTGCAGCGGAAACTGGGCCACATGCGTGTACAGAAAGATCAGTTCCTCCTCGTGCAGCATGATGGGACGTGCACGCGCCCGACTGCGACACGTCTGCACCTGCCGGCGATAGCTGCGCAGACGGCGCACATGCCGCTGATATTTGTAGCGCAACTCTGCCCAAGTACTGATGCATTTGTTAATCTCCACTGACATCTTCCGTGCAATGTCCTGCCACAGCTGCTCCTTGAACACATCATCTCTGAAGCGCCGATGGTGTCGGTTATAGAGCGCCGATCTCTTTCTCACCAACCGAATGAGGCGTCGCTCCGCCAGATATGTTTCCAGATTATAGGCGAACGTTTCGCTAGAAGAGGTGTCGACGCTGTTGCTCGGCGTTCTCATTGTTGCGGGACTTATGACAAACTCCCCGGTGTCTTCGTTGAGAACCAGTGTTGGCTTCTCTTCGTCATCGTCTGTAAATATGACAGTTATATACCGTGCATCGGCAATATTATGGAGCTGCTTACCCAAAATTTTCAACGGATTTGATTCAGCATTCGCAACTTTTGGAGTCGATGTAGCTGGCATTTCAATAGTTGGTTATATACAACAATTACAATATGTTAAGTACACCGCGCCAACAAATCGCGTCGCTTGATCAAACAACAATAGAAATAAGAGCGAAATAAAAGAAACAAGTAAACACATAAACGTGCGATTCCTAATGTCATGCTGCCCGGTTGTCAATTGAGCCACGCATGAGACTGCTGCTCCGTGACGCCCGGAATGGAGAGAATATATACGAATATTGTAAATCAACACATGGTATTCGAATATTGGATTAAATGAAGCTGACTGCCAACAAAAGTCCCGTTTGCTACTTTGCGGTTTGCGTCTAAGAGTATTGCGCGCAGAGAATAATTCAACGATAACGCCACATTCGAGCTATCGCCTGCCCATATATATCGATAGCAATTAGCTGTGTTGAACAATGCCCAAATGGCGGGTAAGTTGCGCGCGCTGCTTAAATTCAATTGGGCGAAGAACAAAATTAACGTATGAAAAATTTTAAAATCATTAGCAACATTATTAAAGACCTTTTAATTGTAAAACTGACAAAGGCTAGTTGGTCATACTTGGATATGTCAAAATTATTATAATACTTATCTCTGCTAGAACATAATAATACTTTTGAAGAAAAAAATACAAAATAACTATAAAGCTAATACAACGAGCTGGATATAAATCGACTATGGTCTTTTATTATTCTGAGACTAACATTAATTATTATAATAGATAGATCTATGCTAGAACTTAGAGAGAACATAACGCTTAGACTGTGGATATTAAAAACTTGAATAGTACAAACTAAATTATCAACATTGTATCACTGACTTGATGCTAGAACTAATCGTTCTTGTTTCAATACACGAGATGAGCCAATTTTTAGAAATTAATCATTTGGTATGTTTCGACTCAGATATGTATCAACCGGCTATCCTTGACACTGACTGCGATCATTCACAGCGTGGCCCACCTGCTAGATGTGTGTATGCAAAACCGAGCCCATTTCAATAATGTTATACAATATATGCGCATACACTTATATATTAATAATGTATGTAATAATGAAAAGAGTAAATTGAATATGAAAAATAAAGAAGCGAAATGTGTGGCAGCCACGGCGTGCGGCAGCAAGAAACGTGTTGCCATGGAAAGCACCAACACAAATCAATTTTTTTTTTTTTTTCAAGGTCAGTTGTTGAAATAAAATAAAACAACCACAACAGCAACTATGCCTAGACATGCACGTGTGTATGTGTGTGTATTACGGCTTGGCATAGACTCTAATTACGTATACGTAACATTACAAGAACATCAAGAAAAAGGAAAAAATAAATTAACAAAAAAAGTTTTTAATGATATAAAAAAAATTTACTCTAGTAAATCTAAGTTTCAAGCGAATAAAGCGAATTTTACTTTTACTTTCAAATTTTTTATGATTAATAATACATATATATAAATTAGTATGTA